GGGTAGTTGGGGAATGAGGAGGGGGCACTACCTTTTGACTCTTCAAGTGTAGACTGCAAGAGGGTCTCACACGACATGGACCATGGCAGGCCTATGGCTTCACTTCACTTACCAGTCTCCACTCTTGTCGATTTCGAGTGTGATTGCTACCAGTGACGCATGGTGCTGGGAACGGTGGTTGGCCTCCATATGCAGGGACTTGGGCTGTTGCACTGGGTTTAAAGCTGTAGGATCCCAGAGGGCCCCTGAACGACTTCCCTGCATCTGCCTCCTTTTCCTTCTCCTGAAGCTCTGACATCTGATTCCCTATTGGCAATTCTCAAAAAGGACTCTATCATGACCCCTGCTTCATAATAGAAAGCTAGGTCTTTGGATGGGTCAGAGATATAGCTACCCAATTAATTCTAATAAGCGGAGCTGGGGCCTGCATTTTCACAGCCCAGCAGGGGCAAGAGTGACGATGGCTTAATTTTTGTTTTTTTTTTGTTAACAATATCCCAAGAGTTGGGCGGGCCTCGTTTGCTGTTCTTGAGATTTCCACTTGTAGATTGAAGAAGTCCTGGTGTTTCAGGGACCAGATGGTGGAGAGGAGGTGTCTTTGGAGCCAAATGGAGCAGTGGAACAGTTCGAATGACTTTGTTTTAAGGGGAAACTCTTGAAGGAATGGGGCCTACTTTTTGCTATACCCCAAGGTGATGCAAGTACCCCCAGGTGATACAAGATTTAGTTCCCTTGAGAAGGGTGCTAAGGTTATAGCACTAGCCCCTTACCAACTGTCTTTAGACACAAGCTAAAGCAGTGCCAAGTCCATGGTGAAATGCAACAGACTCCGACTGCTTTAGAGAGAGAAACCAGGTGGGCATCATAGCAGGGTTCACATGTAGAGAGTGGCTGACAGCAGCGACACTGTCTCTCTCTCCTAACACAGGCAAATGTAACACAAACTCTCACACAACTCAGTGGTAAAGCACCAAGAACAGGGCCTTGTTTTTACACAGCACATGCATAAGAAATACTTGTTTTTCTCAGCTCCCTGTGTCTCTGTGTGTGCGTGTGCGTGTGCGTGTGTGTGGGGCCTCTGGGAGAGGAGCCTCAGGGTGGCTGTACTGTATTTTGCACCCTCTTCCTCCTCCTCCTGCCCCGCACAGGTGGACTGAGCAATGCAGAGGGATTCTGTCCCCACTGGGCAGTGAATTTGCTGGAGCTAAAGGGCTTCCTTACCACCCCCCAACACACACGCTGGCCACAGTGGGTCAGACATGGGCCCACATGCTGTCTTTCTGTTTCCCAGGGAGAAGGATGGCATCCGGAAGGCCCGTGAGGTCCTGATGCGGTTGGGCCTGGACCCGACTCAGGAGGACTGCGTGGCCACTCGCCGGATCTGCCAGATTGTGTCCACGCGCTCCGCCAGCCTGTGCGCAGCCACCCTGGCCGCCGTGCTGCAGCGCATCAAGGAGAACAAAGGCGAGGAGCGGCTGCGCTCTACTATTGGGGTCGACGGCTCCGTCTACAAGAAACACCCCCAGTGAGTCAGTGTGCAGGGCCTGGAGACACAGAGTTCCTGGAGCACCTGGGGCTGAGTGACTCCTCATGCCAGCTCCATTTTGCATTTCAGGGGCGGTGTGGCGGGACCATGGAGCTGAGGGTCTTGGACTAAAAGTTCCCGCCTGGGCAAGGGGGAATGGGAGGGAGTCATATCTGGCACGGGTGGAGGTGATTTCTGAAGGCTACCAATGACTCGGGCTCTCCGCAGAGCTCCTCTGCCTGCTGGGCACTCTCTTTGCCATCCTCTTTTTTATGCGTTATTGTTCCTGTCTTTACTCTTAGAATTCTTGGTGATTCCTGCAGGTGCTATGTCCTCTGCCAGGGGCCACCCCAGCCCTGGCTGACCTTGGTATTAAATTGATCCTGCCCTGTCCACATTTTGATCCCTCAGGTCATAGGTACCAGAATGTTCACATTTCAGCTGAGACCTAGAAGATGTCTCTCTTTTGTGCCCTACTTATTTCCCCATCATTTTCACCTAATAAGAATGCCAGGTCAATGTGCCTTCGTTTTCTTAACTGGTTGGTGCAGGAGGACTCAGCCCTGAGATTCCCTGTTCCTACTCAGTGATGCAAAAACTTGAGTGTGCACGTGAGTCACGTGGGAACCTTGTTAGGAGGCAGATTCTGATCGGAAGGTCTGGGGTGAGCCTGAGATCCCGCGTCTCTCACAGCCCCCAGTGAGGCTGCAGCCCACAGATCACACTTGGAGTAGGAAGGCCCTGGAGACCATGACTCCAAGTGGCCACTACCCAGAGAGTTCCTGGCTGAACACAGCCATTGTCTTTAGCTGTGCAGACACCTTTGGGATCGTTGGCAGAAACTGGCGAAAGAGAAGCTAAAGTCCAGAAGAGCATCTCTAGCTTTTAATTTTGGGCCCTTCCCAGACAGCAGCTAGTGAAATAGTGATGGAACAAGACAAGTAGGTGGCATCAGAACCACCTCATACCACAGGGCTGCTCCAGCAAAGAGGCTGATGGTACCATGTTGGGCAGAGGAGCAGTGGCCAGGGGGCCTTCTTCAGTGAGGAAGAGGAGGTCTTGTGTGACTGCATGTAGGGCACAGTGGCTTATTAGAAGGTCTTTTCCTTTCAGTGGTGGGGGTGAACCAATCCCAGTGGTCATAGTTGATATGTTCTTCTAGTGGTTCCTAACTTGGGAGAGTGGAGAGAGGATATTTAGGGCGGCACCCACTCCTGCAGGTGCTTTTTGGCATTTGGGCTAAGGCGGTGGGCAACTGTCTAACCATTTGCACCATTGACCCTAACCATGGACACCTGTCTCTTTATCCGCCCTGGGGAACTACAGTTTTGCTAAGTGTCTACATAAGACCGTGCGGCGGCTGGTGCCCGACTGCGATGTCCGCTTCCTCCGCTCTGAGGATGGCAGTGGCAAAGGTGCAGCCATGGTGACAGCAGTGGCTTACCGGCTGGCCGATCAACACCGTGCCCGCCAGAAGACACTGGAGCCTCTGCAGCTGAGCCATGACCAGCTGTTGGAGGTCAAGAGAAGAATGAAGGTGGAAATGGAGCGAGGTCTAAGCAAGGAGACTCATGCCATTGCCCCCGTGAAGATGCTGCCCACCTACGTGTGTGCCACCCCTGATGGCACAGGTATGCGGCAGGGTTGCCACCTGGCTCACATGGTGGGCCTCTGTCCTAGTGTTGATGCCCTGGGAGGACTCCCTTAGCATTAGCATTGGACATTTGAACCAGAACACATTTCTTCAGCTGTATTACTAGGGAGTTCTGATCTTTGATAAACTCAGACAAGGTGCTCCTCTGCAAACAGTAATAATTGCCAATACTTATTCAATACTTACTGTGTGTCGAAGCACTTTATGTGTATGAATTCATTTAATCTTTGTTAACTTAAAAAATATTAGCAGTTAATTTTATGTATTGACCTGTGTTTGACAGAAAACTGAGGCGCAGAGAAGTTAAGACAGCTGCCTAAATTCACGCAACTAGAAAATGTCAGAGCTGGGATTCAAACCCAGGAATTCAGGTTCTAGAATCTGCTCCTGCAATCACCACGTTGGTCTGAGTCAGGGTTGGCAAACTATGGCCCATGGTCTGAATGTGGCCCACCACCTGTTTTTGTACATAAGATTTTATTATTACACAGCCATGCCCATCTTACTGTTGTTTTACACTGTCTTGGCAAAGTTGAGTGGCGGCAGCAAAGACTGCGTGACCCACAGAGCCTGAACTGTTTGCTGTCCAGGCCTTTACAGAAGAAGATTTCTGACCCCTGCTGTAACTCTTGTACCCTCAGAAATGGTGGTCTTATTCCAATTCAGAGAAGATAGTCGATGAGCAGGCCAGCATAGCACAGTTGGTAGAGGTTCCAGAGACAGAGACTGGGATTTGGTCCCTGCTCTACCCTGTCCTGGTTGTATGGCCCTGGGCAAGTGATTTAACCTATCAGCTGGATCCCAATCATCCTTAAGAGAGGAATGCAGCGTCTTCCTCTCAGGGCTTCCTAAGGATTGAATCAGGACTGTGTGTGAGGCACGTGGCACATTGTAATTGTCCAACAAGGGAGGGTTTTCTCATTTTAAAAGATTTCCCTTCAGCTTCCTTCAGGGAGCTGGACTCTTCTTCTGTTCCTTCTGTATTCTAGAATGTAATATAAGCTGGCATTTGATGGAACAGGAATGGTGTATTTGGATAGTTTTAAGTGTACTGTCTCAGCATTCCCCATGTTCTGTCCCAACTTACCACCTCCCTGGGCTTACTTTCCAGAGAAAGGGGACTTCTTGGCCTTGGACCTTGGAGGAACAAATTTCCGGGTCCTGCTGGTGCGTGTTCGGAACGGGAAGTGGGGTGGAGTGGAGATGCACAACAAGATCTACGCCATCCCGCAGGAGGTCATGCATGGTACCGGGGACGAGGTGAGCAGGGCGGCGCCTCCAGGAGGGGGCCCCTGGTGGATGTCACCTCTTGCCTTCAAGGACAGTGCTTTCTCTGCTTGTCTGTGACCCTGGGGAGGGCTAGTTGGACCCAGGGCTCCAGCCTGGTCTTGACTCAGGTTTGTGCCTGAGCTTGCATTTCTTCTGGGTGGAAAGAAACATTGAGGTCTTGTGCGGGCCCTGCTGGGGGGAGCCTGCCCTGCCCAGGGCCCCTCCCTCAGTGTCCTAACTTCTCCCTGCAGCTCTTTGACCACATTGTCCAGTGCATCGCGGACTTCCTTGAGTACATGGGCATGAAGGGCGTGTCCCTGCCTCTGGGTTTTACCTTCTCCTTCCCCTGCCAGCAGAACAGCCTGGACGAGGTAATAACACCTTCCTGGAGGGCTCCCCTGAGGGCTTTATTGACTCTAAACCAGCCAGGTATGGAGCAGGGGAGAAAGTTGAGCTAAGACTAAGGAAAGAAGGACGTGAGTGACTAGTAGTGGGGAGGGACCCCTCGATGGGAATGAGTAGGTTGAGGCTGGTGGAGGTTAAGTAGGTGAGCTCAACTGTGACAGCCTTTGGGGCAATGATGATGATGTTACTCAATGTTAACAACTGCCCGGCATGGTGACTCACACCTGTAATCTCAGCACTTTGGGAGGCTGAGACAGGATTGCTTGAGGCCAGGATTTCAAGACCGGCCTAGGCAACATAGGAAGGCCCCATCTCTACTGAATATATCATTTTTAAGCACTTACTTTATGCCAGGTACTATGTTAGACTTCTTATGTGCATTATCTCATTTAACCCTCACAGCAACCATATAAGAGACGTGTTTGAATACCCATTCTACAGAAAGGAAAATAAGCCCTACAGAGGTGCTGGCTATCTTGCTCCAGGTCATAATAGCTTGGGACTGGCCAAGCCAAGATTTGGATTCTGGGTTCCTGATGCCTGAGGCTGTGCTCTCAGTTATGCTGTGGGGCTCCTGAGGCCCTTGTTATGGGATCAGGGCATTTTCATGCCATCTCCTGCTGTTTGGATACCCCGGCTCTTCTCCGGTCTCATCTTTGCTTCTCACTCCTCTTCAACTTACCTTGGGTGTGAAGTAGGTGCGTGAGGATCTGGCACTCCCGGATATTCTGGACATGAGTGCCCCGGGAAGTGGAGAACTGAGTAGGCAGTGCTGGATCTGCTGCTGATGACTGGTAGCCCTGAGCATTAGGTATCAGGAGACTGTTTTTAAGCAGTTGTGTCTCCGTCTCAGTCATGAAGAAGCGCATGTGCACGCTGCCAGTGTGTGGTATGTTGCACATGCCACTGCTAGGCAAAAAAGGCATGGCTCCTACCTTTAGATGCTTACAAACAAGCTGGACTGACGAAGCAAGCTCAGAAAAGGAAGAGCTGCTGTTTGGAATGTGGCCCTAATGGGATGGATACTGAAGCCCCCAGGACAGGTAGTGAGACAGATGTTGTTAATCTGAGTGCACACCTGGGGGACATCAGGACTTGGAACAAGTCAGAAGAATGAGTTGGTGGGAAAGAAAAGCGAGCAGGCTGCCCAGTGTGGAGAGGGGCATGTAGGTGGGAGCAAGTGACAGAAAGAGCTGGGCCAGCACAGAAAAGCCTACCCCAGTGACAAGGAAAGACCAGCATTTCCCATAGGGTCCCTGCAACAGTGGCCCTCTACTTGCTTCACTGAGTTCTGTAAATGCCTCCTTCTCCTCCTTATCTGAGAGAATTCCCCAGGTGCACTAGTGTAATTAAGGTTTTAAGAAATTCTGCAATAAAAATTCTGCTTAGTCTGGTATTTCTCAACACCTATTAATATTCATCTAGTGTTAACCAGACCAGCATTGCTTTATGCCTCATGTGGACAAATACTTCTGTACTATTTAATGGACCATTACTTATGATAACAAATGTTAGAAACAAACTTGTTCAATAGTGAGATAATAGTTAAATAAATTCTGACCCACTTATTGCCTAGTATCAGCCACTAGTTATTTGTAAGAAATTTCAATCACATGAAAAAATACTGGTGGTATGACTAAAAAGTTTTAAAACTATTTTTCTTTAGAAATGGTAATCTCTTTATGATCTAGAAAAATATAAAATACAATTAACGGGATGATAAAAGCATAACACTCCAGTGTATATCCTCTTCTAGACTTCCTACCGAAATATTTTCTAGTAGATACTATCTTAACTTTTCATGCCCACAGGGTATATATTTATTTACATATTTGCCAGGGAAACCGGAAGGTGTGTTAACTGTTTCTGAATTGTGAGATTCCAGGCCATTGAATTAGGTTTTATTCTGTGTTCCAGGTTTCTGTGAGGAGCACTTGTTAGGTCTAGAGCCGTAAAAATTAAGAGCAAATAAAGCAGACATCATTTCTCCCTGTGGGCTCTGGCAAGATCCTCCTATGACTGGGAAATCCCGCCAGTGCAGAGGCCCCCGGGCTTAGAGGCCCTAGGGCTCAGTGGCCCCCCCAGCTGTGTTTCCCAGCTGCTGGCCTGGGGTGAGCCTCCCCAGCTGTTGGGGCTCCACTTGCCTTATCAGTAAGGATCACCTGAAATAATGTTATTTGAACATTCTTTAAATACAAACTGTCGTCAGAGATGTGAAGCTAACTTGTGGAGAGCTGGGTGGAGATAAGCACACACTTGTCTGGTCGTGGGTGTGCCAGCCAGTTCTCTGAGGGTATGCGCTTTGTTTTCTGAATCTCCTGGGATCTGAACACAGTGTGACACCTCCAGGTTGATGTGAATGAAATGCCAAGCTGATGGGCTGAATCCCTGAGCAGGGCCTGAAGAAATCATGCAAGTGGGTGGGTTATGACCACACAGCTCATTTATGGAAGCCGAGCTCTTGGGTAAGGGGTCTGAAGCCCTGAGGCTTGTTTTCTGGTGGGCTGTGGCAGCAGAGAGGGCATCAGGGAATAAAACCCAAAGCATTTTCCCCAGGTTCAAAGCCATCATGCATCTGCTCCCAGAGGACCATATTGAAGGCAAGGGGCCACTGAGGATGCTGAGGAGGAGCCTGGAGTTGTTTTCCTCAGTGAAAGACATGGGGTGGTGGTGAAGCCTAGCTGTCACCCAGCTGTGGGTGAAGCACTTGTTTGCCAGATGGTGGAGTTTGAAATTAGGAGACGTACACCGACCCTTCTGATGTAAAGGATAGGGACAGAGCAAACTGCTTTGCCCAGTGAGCGAAGCAAGCACACAGGAAGAAGTTGCACAGCAGGGGCAGCTGCATGGTGCTTATGAGCCCATTCACTGGGGTCAGAGGGCCTCAGGGTGCATCCTGCTTCTCTCTTCCAAGCTGTAGGCCTTGAGCAAGTCACTCCAGAGCCTCAGGTTCTTATAGTGGCCGTAAACATGACAGATGTTCCACAAGGGTGCTGTGAGGATTATATGATGTAATACATGATCTGTGCTTGGCCCAGTACCTGCTACACAGTAGGTGCTTAATAAATCCAAGTAAGTAGGAACAGTTCAGACTAATTTGTGGGTGAGATGATTGGTGACACTGGAGGATCCGTCTGACCTGGGAGCCCTTCCCTGATGTCCTCTCCATGCTAATGTGTGACTTTTAGAGCATCCTCCTCAAGTGGACAAAAGGCTTCAAGGCATCTGGCTGTGAGGGCGAGGACGTGGTGACCCTGCTGAAGGAAGCGATCCACCGGCGAGAGGTAGGAGACACATGGCACGAGGCCTGATGTGTCAGCTCCTCGATGATTGACCTGGTCTGTGTGTTCAGAAAGTGAGGGCAGCGTTAAGTGTGGCTGCATGGGTTGTTGAGTGTGCACTGTGTGTCAAGCCATGCTCTCAGCACTGGCGGTTCAGGAGTGACCACAGCAAAGCTTTATTCTATAAACAAATAAGCCCATGACCTAGTGGCAGGTGCTGTTAAGAGCTGTGAAACACACACATACACACAAGTAAAGGAGTAAAAGAATGGCTACTCCATAAGCAGAGCAGCCATGAGGGCTGCTGTTTGCCCATTTTTATGGTTATTTCTTGATTATATGCTAAATAAGGGTGTATTATTCATGCCTTCCCTTTTTAGATCATACAGAGTTTAAAAAAAAAAGAAAAGGAGTGAAGTGGAGTGAGGAGAGCAGTTGGAGCAAGTGTGCTGGCAAAGGGCACTGTTAAATAGCACGAGCGGGGAGGGTCTCTCCAAAGCGGTGACATTTAAGCCCAGACCTGAATGGAATGAGAGAGCCAGCCATGGTGTATGAGATATATTTTATATACCTATAAATCTCCCACGCAAATGTCTGAAAGGAGAATATTGGGTTCACCTGTGAACGGGGCATCTGCTTCTGCCCTCTCAGGAGTTTGACCTGGATGTGGTTGCCGTGGTGAACGACACAGTTGGAACTATGATGACCTGTGGCTTTGAAGACCCTCACTGTGAAGTTGGCCTCATCGTTGGTAAGGACCCAGACTGTCCTTTCCACATGGGGCTGCATGGCCTCGGGTGTGGGAGGGATGGTGCTGAGCAAGGCCCTGGTATCCTGTGATTGGCAGGCACGGGCAGCAATGCCTGCTACATGGAGGAGATGCGCAATGTGGAACTGGTGGAAGGAGAAGAGGGGCGGATGTGTGTGAACATGGAATGGGGGGCCTTCGGGGACAATGGATGCCTAGATGACTTCCGCACGGAATTTGATGTGGCTGTGGATGAGCTTTCACTCAACCCCGGCAAGCAGAGGTAGGCACCCAGCTGGGGCCCTGTTAAGTGTGTCCCAGGACTGGATGGCAACAAGTGATCGGAGCTTCCACAATAGCATCTCCCAGGATGCTCGTTATCATGAGATGTTAATAAAAGAGGTTTCCTTGGAAAGGGTTTCTTGTCAGATGCACCTGGAAAGTTCTGAGTTAGTAAACATAAGAAGCATCTCCCACCCCAGAGCCTAGGAGAACAGGGAACAGGTGGGAGAATACTGGAGCCTAGGTCTGGCACTCTAAGGAGAAACAAACAGAAAGTTGAAGCACCTGCTGCTGCCAGACTGCAGAGCATCTCTGGGGTGATGCAGACAGGAACAAATCCTCTCCCTCCTCCATCTTCCAGTGCCGAGCACTGGGTCAGCCCCAGTGTCACAAGACCCTGTGCATGGTAGGGGAGCAGGGTCTGAGCTGAGAGACAATACACTTCTCATTAAGATGTTGTCTGTAGTGTTTCCTAACTAGATTAATCAAACACCCTCGTTCTGCAGAATACACTTTGCAAAACATGTCTAGAATAGAAGTTACAGACTAAAATGCCTCTAGGGGCCAGGTAGGCAGCATTAATGAAGGAGGCAGGCTGGGCCAAGCCAAGATGGGGTGGCGATGGGGTATTGGTTGAAACTGGGGACATCGATTTTTTTTTTTCAAGGCAGGGTTCATGGACCAAAAGACCCTCAAGTCACTGCATAATCATGTTTAGTTCCAGTGGCCAGGACGGGGGGCCCTACAGCTGGCAGTAGTTACTTGAGTAATGATGATTAGGTCCAAGAGAATGCACGCTGAATGCCTAGTGAGGTTAAAGATTAAGACTCAGCATTCTCCCCTGCTCCGAGAAGTCTGGTAGGGTTATGGTGTGTGTTCCTTCTCGAGTTGCTTCATGAAGTTTCGAAATAAGCCTTGGAAAGGAAATGAGTTCCTTTCCCTGTGGGTTCCTTTCCGAGGCTTATTTCCGCAGGAGCCCCACCGGCCTCGGGCACTGTGGTCAGTGTTGCTGAAGTTGTGAATTAGCATGCAGAGACACCAGGGATCCTGCCCAGGTGAATCAAGTAGCAATTCCTTTTCCATCAGGGGAGTCTGCCTGTCTGCCACTTCTGATGCACTGGGTGTGACTAAGCTGGCCTGTCCTGTCTCAACACATCCCTCTACCTTCCTACTTAACCTCCATGAATGTTACTCGCATTGCAGGTTTGAGAAAATGATCAGTGGAATGTACCTAGGTGAGATTGTCCGTAACATTCTCATCGATTTCACCAAGCGTGGGCTGCTCTTCCGAGGTCGCATCTCAGAGCGGCTCAAGACAAGGGGCATCTTCGAAACCAAGTTCTTGTCTCAGATTGAGAGGTGAGAGCTTAGGGATCAGGGTAGCAGGGGGCCATGTCCTTCTTTTTTCTCACTGGCAGATAAACTGAAGGATTTCCACAGCTCAGGGCATGACTCATACAAAAGTCAGTTTAGTGGCAAACACATTCGTGTCTATAGTGTTTACTAAAAGCACATTATGGACAGTTGTCATTTTAAGGGCAAACATAGAGCATTCTCATGAAAGTTTGTGCTAAGCCTGACCTGAGGTCATGTAAAGTGGTATTGTTGGGTTTTAGACCATGTATCAAAGGTAGAAAGATACCTGCTCATAGCATGTAAATTGAAATGCACAGAGAAAGATAACCTATTAAAGCATCCACACTCGGCTTGAAAGCCCTTCCTAACTGCTGGCTGCAGTAATCAGGCAGCCAGGATTGAGTAAATGTTGCAACGTCAGGCAGTGCAGACATATGCCACACAGTGGCTCATTAGAGCAAAGCCGCCTTCCTACAGTCAAATGGTGGAAAATCTGCTCCAAATTAGAACAGTGAATTTCAGAGCCCTTTAAAAATTAATGCTATGCCATTACTCTCAGGGCAGAGAAGAACAGGAACTAGATAACTGACGTGAGTAGACCCCTCGGGCATCTGCACCAGTGAATAGAAAGATATGTTCTAGCTTACAGGTCTGTTATGTTCAAGGTGATTCCAGGCTTTTAAAATAGCTTTCTTTTTTTTTTTTTTTTTTTTTTTTTTTTTTTGAGACGGAGTCTCGCTGTGTCGCCCAGGCTGGAGTGCAGTGGCCGGATCTCAGCTCATTGCAAGCTCCGCCTCCCGGGTTTTTACGCCATTCTCCTGCCTCAGCCTCCCGAGTAGCTGGGACTACAGGCGCCCACCACCTCGCCCGGCTAGTTTTTTGTATTTTTTAGTAGAGACGGGGTTTCACCGTGTTAGCCAGGATGGTCTCGAACTCCTGACCTCGTGATCTGCCCGTCTCGGCCTCCCAAAGTGCTGGGATTACAGGCATGAGCCACCGCGCCTGGCCTAAAATAGCTTTCTTTATATAGGAGGGTTTATTTTCTTTCTATAACTTTATTTACACTTCCTTTGTAAATAGCGTACAAATACAGTTCAGGCCACCCAGAGCAGCAGAGCAGAAAGAAAGCATAAGTCTAATGCTGCTTGGTTAATTCCTGCCTTGCAGACCCATGACCAGCAGCGAGAGAATGGACATGAAAGAGCTTTGTAACTGACCACTGTGATCGACAGTGAATTTGCTTTGTTTTGAGTATCCACTTTGTAGCAGTAATGCTCTACCTCGAGAATGGAGAGTGGAATGAGGAGCTCTTTGTATTCCTGTCACCCTCAAGAAGAGTCATTGTAGTCCAGTAGGATGAGCAGTGCTCTGAATTTAGAAATGGGAACCACATTGAGGGGCCAGCTCCTGGAGAGCCAGACCCCCACAGAGCCTCCCCTATAAAGGACTCAGGACCTGGTGTGGTAGGCTACCAGCCCTCTTGGTGCATAACTGAAAAACTTGCTGTCTCCCTCTCACCCCAGTGACTGCCTGGCCCTGCTGCAAGTCCGTGCCATCCTGCAACACTTAGGGCTTGAGAGCACCTGTGATGACAGCATCATTGTCAAGGAGGTGTGCACTGTGGTGGCCCGACGCGCAGCCCAGCTCTGTGGCGCAGGCATGGCCGCTGTGGTGGACAAGATACGAGAAAACCGTGGGCTGGACGCTCTCAAAGTGACAGTGGGTGTGGATGGGACTCTCTACAAGCTACATCCTCAGTGAGTGCCTGAGCCCAGCCCTCCCTGCCCACCTTCTTTCTGTCTCTTTGTTCTTTCCCCCTTGTCTCTCTTTCCTTTGTTACTTGATAGTGAATTATCAGCCATTCCAAACAGTGTATATAATACACGTATTATAGTTTAAAGATTCACAACCAGAAATAGGCCTGTGTTTCACCCCCCATCGTCGGAAGCCCCCCTGAGCCCTTCCACATTTGTGTCCTCACACTCCCGTGCCACGGGTAAGCATTGTGCTGAATCAGTCCCTTGCTTTTCTTTTCCGCCCCCATATATCTAGGTATGCATCCATATTGTTTAGTTTTACTTATTTTTGGACCTGCCACAAATGAAATCATATGATATCTCTTCTGTGGCTGGCTTTTCTCACACAGCGTTTGTTTAAAGATGCATCCTCATTGAAGTATACAGTTGTAGTTCATTAATTTTCAGAGCTGTATAGCGTACCTTTGAGTATATTGTGGTTTTTTCTATCATTGATGTGATATTTAGGTTACTTCTAGATTTTGAGCGTTACAAACAGTGCTACTGTGAACGTTCTGGCAAACGTAATGCTAGAACTCTGAAGCAAGATTTTTTTCAACATTCTAGAGCAGGGGTTGACAGGCAACAGTCACAGACTATTATTGTACATAAAGTTTCCTGAGGATTGGGAGGGGGACAGAAGCCCAGCCACCAACCCTGGGACATGGCATCTTTAGCTTTGTAGATGGGGAGGGTGTCCTGACCCTGTTGTATTGGGACAGATCACAGCTCTCTCTTTCTCTGGTCCATATAGGAAGGATCTGTGATCACTGTGATACCCTAGCAGTGACTCTGTAAGTCTGCTTCTTTTGCCTCCAATGGCATTTTGGAGCAGATGTGGCTCTGATACGAGGCTATGTGCCTGGAAGATAGAAAATCACATTCATGAGTCCTGGTCTCCCCCTCCAGAGTTTGTGAACAGATTGTGCTCCTCTGTTAGGCACACTTGTGGCTTCCATGGCTGTCGAACTTCTCTTTCACTGATTATTAGTTTTAAGAACACAATTTGCCGGGATCTCAGACATTTGTCCCAGAGTTGAATCCCAGCTCTCCAATGGCTGATGTGATGTGGAAATTGGGCATAGTACTAGTATCTCCAAGCCACAGTTTTCTGGTACTTAATAATATATAGTAAATGTTTAATACATTATAGCTGTCATCCTTCTCCTCTTAATTATTTCTGGGTTTCCAGCATCGCTTCTTAGCTTTCCATTTCTAAGTGCAAATATAAACCAGTCATGGCTAAGATGGTTTTTCTTGTGTCTTCCTCCCACCTTTTCCAGCTTTGCCAAAGTCATGCATGAGACAGTGAAGGACCTGGCTCCAAAATGTGATGTGTCTTTCCTGCAGTCAGAGGATGGCAGCGGAAAGGGGGCAGCGCTCATCACTGCTGTGGCCTGCCGCATCCGTGAGGCTGGACAGCGATAGAACCCCTGAAATCGGAAGGAACTTCTTCTTTCTCTCCCTCTTCCCTGTTTTAAGTTATGTCATCCCCTTGTGTCAGAGACAGACCCCTTGGCTTTTCCTTGGCAGAGAGGACCCCACTGGACTGGGTTTTGTCTCTGCATCTCATCATAGAGCTTGGTGGGCGAACTTGGCCCTATTAAGATAAATACAGTTCCAAATAAGGATTTGTTCACATGCATCACAACCATTCCCACTGGTTCTCTTAAAACACGAAAATTGTCACCCTTAGTAATCCCCCTTGCCAAATTCCATGTCCCTGTATAATTCTACAGGATGGGGACACTAATGAAGATATGGTTGCTTCACCTTGAAGCCTGAACATGACATTTCTAGGTGGGGTGTGTCCCCCAGCTCTGATGTTGTTACTGATTCTCCTGTCAGAGATCTGGGAGGTCTCCACTGAGGATGTGAGCCTGATTGTCCTACAGGCAGATGTGGGGAGGGTGGAGGGGCGACAATGGAGGGAAATCCATGGATATCCATGCGAGCAGCCCCTCTTTAACTTCATCTACAAGCCTTTGTCCTGTGGATTCCAGCATTTGCTATTCCTGGAATCAAGGAATCCCGAGTCTAGGCAGTGAAACCAAAGCCAGAAGTTGACACATCCTGCAGTTGGGCCAGCCGTCGCATCTCAGCGGGGTGCACACATGATCCACGAGTGATGGACTTTTGGGGAAGGGGGAGTTTTTGGTTTGTTTTACAAATTTTTCCTGCAAAAGTGGAAACACTGTATTTTCATTTTAATTTATATTTGAAATTTTATTTAGTTCTTGAAGTAGATCTGCTCCTTCATCTTGACATGTAATGGTCAGTTGTACGTAATGTATTTATATGTTAATTTGTTGTGTATATAGATATGCAAGTCTTGTCAGAATTGGCCTCAGTGTAGTTAAAGGGCGGAAGGGGAAGATACTGACTAGTCATAGAAATACCTCATTCGCCTGTGGGAAGAGAAGGGAAGCCTCTTCAGGGTGAGTGAGTGGCAAAGCAGTTGCTTCTGGCTCCTCCTTCCCCTGTGGTCTTGGAAGTGTAGAAGGCAGGGACAGAGATGGAGGCTGAGCCAATGGACTGAAGAGACCACAGCAATTGGTTCCTCCATCTAGAGATTTTCTTGGGGCAATATTCCATGGGATGTTAAGCAAAGGAAACCAAAGGAATCATTTCAAATGGACTCATGGCTTAGAAATCTTTATTCTTAGGGCAGTCAGTAGTATTCTAAAGCTTTCTGACAAGATAAAGGAAGTCACCAAAAAAAAAGTTTTTAAAATTGTATCTAATCCTCAACAACAAACCAAAACAGAACAATTAAACAACCAAATAAAACCTCAGGGACAACATTTTTGGTGTTTTTGTGCCCTCCCAGCAAGTTTCACCTTGGGTTTGTATTTTAAATGTTTTACAAGAATTGTTGTCCATGTGCTTCCCTAGGCTGAGCTGGCATTGGTCTGCTGACCTGTTTTTGTGGGGGGTTTTTTATACACACTATTTATTTCAAACTATTGGGAGGGATGAGAGTGGCTTAAAAACTTCCGTCCCTACTTTTCAAGAGTGCCGTTGATTCTGAATCTGAAAGCCCACCTCTGCTCTAAAATACACACAAGCACAGACGTTAAACCTGGATACTATATAATAAAGAGGGATGTAACTCCATTGAATTGGATACAAGGATCAGAATGGAAAGATGGAAAGAAACTCATGATGAAGTTGCACCCGGTTTTTGTATATTTATCAAACTTGTGCTGAGAATAGTGTCTGATTGCACGACTTTTAAGCAAAGTTGGGTGTTATTGGGTGAAAATGGCCCAGCTCCTCCTGGGAGCACAGAGCGGCAAAGGGCTGGTCCTCTTTTGCTCTAGTCTCTTTGCTGTCTGGTGTAGCTCTTCTGCTGCTCCCATCTGCACTAATTGACCCAAAATGTGGGTGTTTCCTGCTACACAAAAGCCAAAAGCTTTCACGTAGATTTTAGGTTCACTAAAGGGTGCCCACAAAATAGAGATGAATTTTAACTTAAATTTTAAGCTTGAAGATTAGGTACTATCTATGAAGTTACACTTTTTTTTTTTTTTTTTTTAAGGTAGAGATGTGTGTGTGTGTGTGTAGGTATTAAAAATGTGTTGTTGGTTTCCAAAAAGGAACACTGGAAAATAAATTTTGAATGTTTGTGTTCTCAGAATTAGGTTGACAGTCCTTTGCTGACATGGCTTTGCTTTGTGTAATATACATGGGATCTCAATCTTCGGGGTGTGGTGAATAGCGAATCATCTCAAATCCTTGAGCACTCAGTCTAGTGAAGATGTTGTCATTATGTACAATAAATAACTAGTTTAATTAACTATGTGATGTTAACTATTAATAAATTTTAACATTTTCCAAAATAATCAAATGTGTGATTCATGAGTGTTTAAGAGTGTAGTCATCTTCCGGTCATATCAGTACTTACTGGCCAGCCTGATGAGTAATTTATGGGTGTCTTGATTTTGAGTGTGTGTATTTGAGAGGCATGTGGCCTTTCTGGAAACTCAGTCCCAGTGGAACTAGAAGGCAGCTTTTCCTGGGTTGCCTTTGACCCTTTAGATTTCAAGCCACTGAAGAGCTATGGCTAGTCCTGTGGTCTACTGTTTAAATAGCTTGGCTGAAATTAGCACCACCCTCAGGGCCTCTGACTGGTCTTGGTTGGCAAATGTGATTCATATTCAGGATATATAGCTCTCATGTGAACATCCAAAAAGCACTTGCCTCTGTCCCCTCCCTACCAAGCTTTCCCCTCTCCCCAATAAGCAGAACACAGGTCTGGAGAGTAAATTCATCAAAAGTCCCCAGTGATATCCATTAACATTCACATGGCCCTGTTTGACAATAACCGAGGGAAGAGGATGACCACGGCTAAGAGGATAATGGAAATAGCCAATGGGTGAGGGAAAGATGAAAATTAGACCCTATTTTTTTCTGATATCAAATTGATGAGATTATGGGAGCATTCTCATACACTGTTGGTGGAAGTATGATTGGTATAGCCCTTCTGTGGGGAAAATAGGCAAAATGCCTCACAGCAGGTTTTGTATAATTTTCTGGAAATTTGTGCTAAGGAAATACATATAGTTGAAGACTAAGATTTAACTTTAAGGATATTGACTGTCATATGGCTTATAATAGCTAAAAAGAGAAACTGTCTCTATATAATGGATCCACTCACCCTTTATCAGGGTACAGTCAGGAAAACAATCCATTCTAGTCATTGCAAACATTTTAATACTGTGACTTGGTTACACAGGTGACGGGAATGCTGAGAAGCCAAGCAGTAGAGAAGCAACCCAGGGATTAGCAACATCAAGAAAAGTAGCTTCAATCCCACTGGCTGGATCGGAGTCACAAAGCAAGGACTGCAACCCTGGAATGGAGTGGGAGATGAAGAAATTCTCTGCCTTCTCTCCCACCCACTCATTTTCTGCAGTGTTTCCATTGGCTGAACCTAGCAGGAAGTGTGTTGGCATAGGGAGCCTGGGAAATGGAGCCTCCTGTGATATGGGGCAATTAGGAAAGTAACTGGCATGCAACTTACAAAACCACTGTGTGGTTTTGTAGAATATTATTGAGCAGGGTTATAGGATAATATTTAGTAACATAGAAAACATTACCAGTATGCTGCTTCATGCCAAAGAATATTTCAGAACAGTGTATTATGATCCTGTTTTTGTTTAAAAAATACTTTTTGTTAAAAATTATGATATATGACGTAAGAGTTGTAATGGGTTTCCCTGAGGGCCTCCTCTGCCTCGCTGAACTCTGGTAGGGGCCTCAGTCCCCTTCCTCAGCAGCTCTCCCTCAAATGACTCACCCCTCTGGGGTCTGTGTGCTGCAGTTCAGCTTGGTGGTGTCCACCAGCCTTAGCCAGGCTGCTGCTCAGTGCAGTTTTGGTGCCACCTACCCTCCCTAGGCCACTGCTGCCCCCACTTCACAGCCTCAGGGAAGAGCTGCACTCCCATTTCCCACTGGGGGCTCAAAGTGGACACAGACACTTATTCTCCACAGATACTTATTCTCCACAGACCATAATACTGGACAAAACATTCAGAAGATACTTTTTGAGATGGTTTGGCTCTCTCTCCCTACCCACATCTCATGTCAAATCGTAATTCCCAGTGTTGGAGGAGGGGTCTGGTGGGGGGGTGATTGAATCATGGGGGCAGACTTCTCCCTTGCTGTTCTCATGATACAGTTCTTAGGAGACCTGGTTGTTTGAAGCTGTGTAGCACCTTCCCCTTCTCTCTCTTCCTCCTGTTGGCCATGTGAAGATGTGTTTGCTTCCCCTTAGCTTCTGCTATGATTGCAAGTTTCCTGAGGCCTCCCCAGCCATGCTCCCTGTGCATCTTGCAGAACTGTTAGTCAATTAAACCTCTTTTCTTATAAATTACCCAATCTCAGGTAGTTCTTTGTAGCAATGGAAGGATGGATGAACACACTTTTTTTTATTGTATAATTTAACACAGGTATTTGCACTAGAATGCCCTCCAAGCCCTGGATTCCCCATGCTCATGGCTTCCCTTGGGCTGCCTCCCTGCCCAACTCCCACCTGCTCTGTGGGGTTCCTCACCACAGGAGAAAGCCGTGTCATTTACTGGGACTCAGAAAACGATATTCCAAAATAATGGTGCTTTGACATGCTGAATAAAGAAGCAACCTCAAGGTCTTTCCTCCTGCCCCACCCTCAACTCTCTGTTTCTCCCAAAGCACAGGATAAGGCTTTTATCTGATATTCCCTGATCTGCATAAAGACTGAACCCCCTCCTCACAAGGAGAACACAAGTGCCTTCTGTCCTTTCTCTGAATCTCTTAAGGACTGGACCCACCTAGGAGAACACAATTGTCCTCTATCCTCTCTGAAATTTTATTATCTGTTGCGGAAAGGAAGACTGAGAAATGCAACCACACTTGGATGGATTTTTTAACAAGATAATGTTCGTGGATTCCAGCATTTCATTCAAATTCCAAAGAGAATCAATTTACAGGTTAATTTCTGTCTACCTGGCACATTCATTCTCTCTAATAAACATTTACCGCCCCTTGAAAAAGTTATCACATTTCCTCTATCTCTCCCTCCCCTATGAAGAAGGGTATATAAGCATCTGGACTTCACTGCGTTATTGGGTAATCATTCTGTGATTCTTCCGTGTTATGTATGTTAAAATAAATTTGTACACAAAATAAAATTGCAATAGGAGAACAATCCTATTCATCTGCCTTTTGTCAGTTCATCTTCAGAAAACCTTCAGAGGGTGGAGGGGGAAGCTTTCTCTCTTTGCTTCTACAGATTTGAGGCTGTGAACGGGATAAACCAAATCTACTCTGCTCTCCTGGGAACCACAGTCAAGAGAATCTAGGACCTGACAAACTGGCAAAAAGGGTAAGAATTTCTCACCAGTCAGATTCCTAGGTGTCTGTCTGTGGAATCCAATAGAGCAGATGGTGAAAATCACTGTCTCTGTTTCCTTTCCAAATTCAGGTTAGTGGGGAGAAAACTGTTTGTATAGACTAGCCTTAGGTTTAGTGACCGTGGTATATTTTTATCATGGGGGCTGCATTTTTTGCACCCATTTAAAAAATGCCCCATGTTATTGTAAATCTAGAAAGTTACCTTTGGGACTTTCCATAAAGAGGGCTTATTGGTTTGAGTCACTTATGGGATAAATAAATAAGCCATATTTAAACAACTGTTTTGCCAGTTTGTCAAGTCCTAGGTTCCCTTGACTGTCTTCTTAGTACCCATGAAAAGACACAAAAGAAATATAGCCTTGAAGACTTATTTGACAAGAATAAAAGAAAAACAGACATTAGGTTTAAAACAAAGTTAAAAATCCTTCAAATGCTCAAACTGTCGCTTTGGATTTTATAAGCAAGGCACTCTAACCTGTGGTCTAGTGCTTAGAATTCAATGTTTTCAGTGCTCCAGTCCAGGTTCAATTCCTGGTTAGGGGAACCAGTTCCTTGGAAATAAAAGTCCTTTGACTCAGGAGAGGGGGAAAAAAGCATTTATGAGAGTTTAAATTATTTGTCTTGAATTTACATTTGTTTGACTCTTGACTTTTGGAGGTATCCAGTCATTTGTAATCCTTTCTTCCCTCATGAACAGCAGTAGATTTCCTGTTTCTATTTTCCATCCATTGGGTCACATGTGTTGTTGGGTCTTTGATGCAGATGACCAGCTGAGAGGTTAGGACCCTGGAAAATATGTTCAGATGGAGGTGTGAGTTGCATCCCATTTGCAGCTAGTGAAACTTTCCTTTTTTTAAGTTGTTGTTGGGAGTAGTCTGGATCTTGGAAATGTTGCAGCTTTTCGCTCCCCTTTTGGAGACCTTGGTTAAAGCCATAAAGGGCTTCATGGTTTTAGTCTCATATGTGTTAATTTGTTTCAGTTTTGAGTCATTTGAAGTTATGCCTTTGGTTTAAAACTTTGGTTTGTATTTAGAGCGTGATGGCAACTCTCCCCGCAACCCCTCACGCCCCATTTATTTTACTTTCTGGGCAGGGGAGTCAGAGCCATGAGCAATTATGGTGCCTCTCCCAGGCAGAAGGGGGAGATACTGCTCTCACAGCCACTGCTGCCACAACTACCACCATTCCTCAGCTCCAGGGAAGGTCGGTTGCTCACAGGGCAGAAAGTTTACCACTTGTATATTTAAAAGGATTTTTGTTAAGACCTATATGGTCAGAAGTCAGCTTAATTAAAAACTGATATTCAGGTATTTTTGTAAAAGTTATCTTTTAGGTCCTGTTTCTCCTATGGGAACTTCTTAGTCAACAAGCCCTCTTTTTCTGGGACCCCTGATAACTACAACTTCATTGACCTTCTGGGAAACTTAAAAACTCCCCAAACTGGCTCTTCTAAGACCTGTTCTTACACTTACTTAAGTCCAAATGCTTTTCAAGTTCATGTCACTTCAATAAATTTTTGGTAAATAAAGTTAGTTCAAAAATTGTTGGTAAAATAAGCCTGTCTATCCCAGGCAAAAATGTCAGAATTAATGTTGACAATTTTGAAATATCATTTCAACATTCATTCTGACATTTTTGCCTGGGTCTACTGGTTAGACAGGTTTATGCTGTCTCTGTAGATGTATTAAGGTCATACAACTTGCTTCTGTGATATTTTTGATACTTGCTTGATTGTTGGTTAGCTAAAGCTGTAAGGGCTGGCATCTGGACTCCCCCAAAACCCTACAAACATCTTGCTGCAAGCTTATATATTTGGTTTTGAGCCCCTGAATTCTGGGGTCTGGATAGGTGGCCATAGTGAGTACTTGAGATATGTGTGTGCACAGCACAGGGGAGAGCCAAGCCCAAGATGACCACATCTTCCTTGGCTCAGCTCTACCTCCCGGCC